TTCTGCCTTGTCAGCCTCCTAGTTCTGAGGGTGTTTTCATGAAGGGAGTGAGAACTGGTCTGAGCTGGGTCTGTGGGGGCAGGGACACAAGCAGGTACCCTTCCTGGGCCCCACCCTCTGCCATCCTGACCCGCTTGCAGGCGATTCATGGAACTGGAGTGAGGCTGAAGGACCAGGTTTCCTTTTCAGGCTCCAAGATCCTCTGATATACCTGTGTTACAAGAAGTTGCAGTCGATATTTTCACCACTCCAACTAGGACTTTTTAGTGGAAGGTACAATTACAAGCAAAATGGCCGGTCTGTGAGGTGGGGGCTGCTGCACGACAGGTGGGTGTACAAAGCAAGACGCTTTTGCACGTGGTCACCTACCTGCCCAGGCTGCTGGGTGACTTCCCCTGAGCTGTCTGCAGCGTGCAGGATTCTCCAGGCAAAAAGAGGTCAGTGGGATTGTGACATGCAATAGGAAATACATTATTTGGTCTCTGTCCCCATTTCTGGCACTGAGCTCCTAAACCCTTGGCACTTCCTCAGTGATGAGAGCCTAGGAAATGTCCTTTGGTATGCTATGAGGTGACCTCTGAAGCCTGCTTGAGGGGTGGACTGGTTGTTAATAAACCAACCTTGTGATTGAAGCCTGGATTCCTGTCTGGTCCTCAGCCCTCTGTGGGTTCGGGATCCGGTCCAGTCACCAGTGAGTTGACCAATCATGCCTATTGAAGGACGCCTCCATAAACCCCCTACGGGGTCAGGTTTGGAGAGCACTCAGGTTGGTGTGAAGGTGAGGAGATTAGGGACATGGTCACCTGGAGAGGCCACTGAAGGTCCGTGCCCTTTCTCTGTACCGCACTGTAGCCATCTCTCCATCTGGCTACTCCTGAATTATATTCTTTTATAATAAACTGGTGTCTAGTAAGTAAAATGTTTCTTTGAGTTTTGTGAGCTGCTGTAGCAAGTTAATTGAAGCTAAGGAGGGGATTGAAGGAACCTCTGAGTATGAGTCAGAAGCACAGGTAACATCCTGGACTTGAGCTGGGCCTCTGAAGTAGGGGGGCTATCTTGTGGGACTAAGGCCTTAACTTGAGGGACTTAACTCTCTATGGAGAGAGTGTTAGAATTAATGTGGGAAGCTCCCTCCCCACTGCCATACTTGCTAAAATTGAGTCCAGAAACCCTTTCAAGGCCTTTGCTGGGTAATTGTGCCCCAACACTTTACTCTTGGCTGGTAATGCAGCTCTGACACTAACTTGGGGAGCAGTAAGCTGTGTTGTTCTTGGCTTTGCAGGAAATTGACATTTTGTTAAATGCAGTCATCTAGAATCTGCTATGCTTCCTCTTCTGCTCTGTGCCGGCCTGTGAGCTGAGAGGTCTCCCCATTTGCCAGCATCACACCTGCAGCAGTTTAAGAGTGCACAACTGTCCCCGGCTGTCCGAGCACCTGATATGCTTTTAATATATGTGCATTCTGGCTAGAGACCAAGCAAGGCTTATGCCAGGTTCCGTTGCTGTATAACAGATCATCATACGCTTCGTGGCTTAAATAATATCTAAGCATCAGCTCACAGCTCTGGAGCTTAGAAGCCTGGGCTGGCTCCAGGGGGTTCTCTGCTTGTGTCTCATAAGTCCAAGGTCAAGGTGTCTCCCAGCTGGGCTCTTATCCTGAGGCTCATTCAGGTGGTTGGCAGAATGGCATTCCCCATGTTTGGTGGCTGAGGTCCATGTGCCTGTGGCCACAGCTGGATGCTGAGGGGGATCCTAGGGGCTGCTGCCATCCGTGTCACCTGCCCCTTCTGCCTCCCTTCAGCGTGGGGCCTCAGATCCTTCCCTGCTTCAGATCCCTGGCTTCCATGTCTGTGACCAGCCAGAGAAAACAGGACTTTAAAAGACTCCTGTGATTTGGCAGGACGCACCCAGATAATCTCCCTGTTTTAAAGTCAGTTGATTAGTCAATAGCATCATTATTGCAGCTGCAAATTCTTTTTATCACGTTGGTAACATGCTCACAGGAGTGAGGCTAGAAGAGGAGGCCAGGGGCTATCCTTGGGTTTTCCTACCGCGGGACTCATGCCAACCCAGCTGCCTCAGTAACAGTGTGAGGATGGCCACTCTCCACATCTGGGTGGATTTTGTGTGTGCTATGTGCTCTGTACGTGTGTTCTCTCATGTATTTCTCAGGATAGTACTTTGATGGAGGCACAGCTACTTTCATCCCCATTTTCCAGGTGAGGCTCAGTGCCTGTGACAATTGAGGGCAATTCATGCAGGAAGAAACAGCAGTGCTGGCATTTGAAGCCAGCACCGTTAGTCTGCTTGTGGGCTGCATCTCCAGTATGACTTGAGTGACTTAAGGACCACCAGCAGGACAGGCAGGAGCGCTGCTCCTTCCCATCTAGCACTTAAAGTGCTAGGATATGAAACATCAATCATACTTCAAGTGTGCAGACACCATGACGGCTCACAGGGGTTTACCAGATGGCTGGATGGTTTTGCTTCTTGTTTCCATAGGTATTGAGGTTAGTCCACTTTCCACTCAGCAACTACAATTTAATATGCTCTAGGCAGCAAAGATGACACAGCAAAGATGACACTGTCCTCAAGGATTTGGAAGTATGTAAGGGTGCAGTACATAATGACCGGAAAGAAGAAGAATAATGCAAGGGGCTAAGGGGATGGGGAGGTAGAGAGAGAAGGGCCAAGAAGATATAAGAGAGGGTGCTGGGGGCAGAAGGAAGAGGAAAGATGGATAGAGACAGTGAGAGGTAGATCTATGGGTGGGTGGGTGAATGGCTGGCTGGATGAATAAATGATGGAGTTAGAGAGGTAGATAGATGGATGGTAGATATAGAAGGAAAATCGATAAAAATGAAACTAAAAAAGGAGATAATGGAACTGCTGTCAATAGAGAAGGTGGTACTTGCATATTTAAATGAAAAAAAGTCACAACCACATGTAGCCACATATCACCATGGGCTTGTGGAGAGCCCATGATACTGGTTAGAAATGGATATGAATGAATCAGGTTATTTCACACCATATATTGAACAACAACAGCAGAAATGTCTCAAGTTTGCAGCAAGAGACAACGGGTATTAGAATGCTGGCTGCAGAAGACACGACGTTTTCAGTCAGCTCCTGCCACATCCCTGCTGTGCAGCAGTTCCCTGCGTAGTTGGTGCTCAGAAATTACTCATTGTCTTCATTTTTTGTGCTTCTATCTATATACTAGACGACTGTAAACCTGAGGATGTGATCATGAATTGAGAAGGATTATGGGGTGAGGGGGTGAGGCGTGAGGGGGAGGATGGGGCAGGGAGAGCTAGCAGGCCAGGGAGCCACCCCCCCAGTCTGGAAGGGAGAGGGGTAGGGGTGGGTGATGAAGCTGAAAGGGGGGCACAGATTGAATCAGACTCAGATATTAAAATCTCATTGGAGGCTTTATTTAGCAGGGGCAGGGTGTCAAAAGGACCAGATTGCTGGTAGTGGGGGGAGATACTGGAGTCAGGGGGCGGCCTTAGCCAGCCTGTGGTGGTGTGGGCTCCCCCAGTCTCCAGCATGGGACCAGGAAGGAGACCCCAGGCCAGGGACCCGGGAAGGAAGATTTTGTGGAGCTAGATACCTCAATAATGTGCTAAAAATGTCTGCGAGTGAGCGGCTATTTCTGGGCTCCTGTGTTTGGCTGTAAATGTGTGTGCATGTGTAATTTCAAGGCACCAGCAACTATCAGCTGCACAGCCAAGGGCACAGCCCTCCCACAGCCCTGCCCCCTGCCAACCACTGAAGTCTGTTATTTGAGAGGAAAACTTGCCATGGTGGAGAAAGGAGCGGCTGGTGATTGGGGTGGGGAAGGGTCGAGGAGGCAGAACATGGGGGGCTGCAGTGCCGATGTCTGTGCCTGAAAGGGCTCCTGAGATTCTTTTGGGGTCCACAAGGTCCACACTATTTTCACAGCAATACTAGGATGCTATTTGCCCTTTTCAGCAATTCTCTCCACTGCTTTCCAAGTGGCCGTGGCGCAGCGCGCGCTGGCAGTGCCCGGCTGGATTGTCCCCTCCAAGGGCAGAGCAAACCAGATGGGAACGTCAGAGGCCAAAGTTCACTGACACTCGGGTTCCACACGTCAGCCGGCAGCGACGTGTGTGCCAGGCCTTGGTGTGGAGGCCGAGGACAGCCACTAGCCTCTGAAGTTGGCTCTTAAACTTTCCTCCCCTCTGTCTGTGGGGCTGGATTTTCTTCACTTGCTTCAGGAAAACATTTGTCCTTAACATTGTCTTTAAGTTAACTAATGTGTATTTTCATTTGCTTTTAACTTTAGTTTTGAATATGGTAATTAGCCACAGGCAAGGCTACATAAACGAGAGTCCCCGAGGGTCCTTGATCATTTTTTTTAATGATTTATTTATTTATACAAGAACCGGGGTACAGCCCAGATGCGTGGGAAGGTGAGGGTGAGGATTCACCAGAGACAGAGCGGGGAGCAGAACAGGCAGACTGACAAAATACACTGCTGAGGGGAGCAGCGGGTGAAACAGGAGAGGTCTGCTGCACCATGTGCGACCCTCGCTGGCCAGCGGGGATCGAACCGGCACTGCAGAGGCTGCAAACAGCCTCACAGCACTATGCTCAACCCCCTGCGCCACCAGGGGAGGCCCTCCTTGATTTTTAAATGGTAAAACACTCCTGAGGCCCAACCGTGGCAGAGAGCTGACCTCCCCCAGCCCTGCAAACAGATCCAGCTGGGAGCCCAGTGCTCTGGGATCATTCTGCCTCTTTAGCCCCTCAGTATCCTTTGAGGTTCAGTAGTTATCTTCACATCCATTTCACAAACGAGGAGACTGAGGCCCTGAGCCCGGGCCTCCCAGCCCGGTGGGGACAGGCGCACCAGAAGCCCGTCCCAGCGGGGGATGGCAGACGGATGCTGGCCTGCTGTGTCCTCAGGCTGTCGCCGCCTCCCACAGTGGCTCTCGGCCAGGCAGGAAGGCACGTCCCAGCTTCCCCTTCCCAAGAAGGCCAGCAAGGAAGCTGCAGGTTCACCCAGAGGCAGCGGAGGGCTCGAGAAATCAAGCCCTTTTCATTTCTGAGAGATCTCCTGTGCGGGGACCTTTGAGCAGGGCTCTGGGGGCAGCAGCTTCCACTGCTGAGCACCTGCGTGCGTCCCAGGGTCTTGTTTGCCCACCTGGACGGTGGGGACAGTGACCCCGGAAGCATGCTAGCAGGGGTCGGGAAAGGATGTGTGTACGGCTTGTGGCACAGAGGCTCGCACGGTGCAGCGGGGTTTCTAAATGACTGTCTGTACCAACTCCAGGCTGGGGGTCGGTGGTGGAAACAGTCTCCCGCATACCTGCCCGAGCTCTCCTATCACCTGTCAGGCAGACACGGTCCTGGTGGTGTGTGCAGGTGTGACGGAGGAGACAACATCCTGTCCACAGTACTTCTCATGTAGCCTGGAAAGCTGCTCGCTTACATTTTCAGTGCTGAATAATACTCGGCTCTGTGATCAGACCAAGGTTGATTTAACCGGGCCTCTTATTCTTGCACGTGGAGGTTTGGAGGTGGCTTCCAGCTGCTGCTTTTGCTGGCAGTGGCTGTTATGTGCTTGGGTGATGGAAGGTGAACTTCCCAGGTGTGGGAGGCCAGGGCAGAGGACAGGCACAGGATGTGTTGAAAGGTATTGCCGACTCGATCTGCATTTGCTCTCCCTTCCCCAGGAAGGCAGGGCTGCGGAATTGAGGAATATTCTAACTCTGGTTCGACCCCAGCAGTGACAGCCTGGAGAAGCTTCTGGAGAAGAGGGAGAAATCTACAAGTAAATGGCCAGTGCTTCTCTCTTGCTTTTTTCTGTTTATGTTTGTCTTCCTCCAGACTGTGGCTCCAGGTGGCTCGTTGAAAGTGATATCCAGGCCTGAGGGCTTTTAATAAGTCCATCTGGGGGCCTCTGCAAACCATCACAGGAAAAGAGACTGCCCCTCCCAGGCCCCCAGCCCCCTCTGTTGGCCAAAACAGCCAGAGTGGGTCTGTTGGGGGAGAAAGAGGGGAACCAGATCCGGATACAGAGTTTGGGAGGATGCTTTGCTCCCTGCCGCTTTGTTTCTCCCTCTGGAGCATGTGAAAAAGCGTGAGTTCCCTGTCTCCCCTGTGGTGGGGGCTGTGGTGTTCCTTTCTTTGGCCCTGCCCCCATCTGCAACAACAGCTAGACTTGCAGATGACGCCTGACTGCAGGGGTCAGGGACTATCTAGGCTGTCCTGGAGTCATGGGGAGCAGGATGCAGGATGCGCCAGGTAGCAGCACTACCCTGAGGGATTTGGAGGTGTCTGGCCACCCCTCCCTTAGCTGAAGAGGCTGTCGTCTCTGGGGTGGTGTAATTATGGTAAACAGAACTCTTAGAACAAGATGACCTCAGACATCTGTAATTCTTCTCCACAGAATTTATCTCAAGAGAATATAGTAATTCAACACAAGCAAAGATGCTGTTTGTTGGACAGAAATTTAAAAAACTGTGGACAAATGAATTAGTAAGTCAAGGTTATGTATTTCACAGACATTAAAAATGACAGCTGATAACCAGAGACGCTGGTCTATTTCACGGGAGCCTGCGGACAGGATCCGAGTGAGTGCTGATGTGAGCCCTGGCCCACGCTTGTTCAGTGGCCAGTGTGCCACAGAAATAGGACAACTGCACTGAGTGAGAGCAATGTGAAAGTGTACTCAGCGCAACAATGTAAAATGTTCTGGGATGGAAGCTGAAAATCAGCCAAAAAGTTACTCTGCTCTGTTTCTCAGCTACATCACCTCCCACAAAAACCTTTTTAGACCTTTTTTTGTAATCCCAGTGCATGTGAATACCAGATACACCTCTGTCCCCATGCTGTCTGTGTATCTGTGCTGTATACATACAAACAGCCGATTTTCCCATCCCTTTTGCCCCTCAGGGGAGTGTCCCCACCCACCACCTGGCTTTCCCTTCAGTTCCATGAAAACGCCTGGTAGGGGGTGTGATTCCAGGGGGTTGCATCTGTGTCTTGCACTTCACTTTGATGCTGTCTTTTCAGTGACAGTGGTTGTGCTCCTGGTGTGCCTTTTGACCTGTGTCACCGTGGCCACAGTCCATGTAGCTCACAGTCTGAGAAGACATGTTACTGTGCAAAAGGGGGGGGGCACTGACCATCCAGGGCTGTGTCTGCAGTGGGCTGGGTGTGTGGTCTGGGCAGTCCCTTCCATGGCAGGGACTTGTCTCAGCGAGATGGCCACTCCGGCGTGGTGAGGAGCTGGCCAAATCCCTCTGTGGCCTTTGAGCAGCTGGAAGAGGCCTGGGAGTTTGTGGGCTCCCTTCCCTGGGGTGGCCGAGTCCAGCTGAGGGACCCCACTGGAACAGGGAACAGTGAATGGCCTGAGAGGCCGCTCCTCAAGGACCCATTCGCCATGCCCCGGAGAGAAGGGGGGCAGGCGTGTCACTCTCCTCCAGATCCACTGCTCCAGTGGTAGAGAAGAGCATCGGGGCTGGAACCTGAGGCCAAGACCCCACAGACCTGCCGTCTGTCCTCTCGGTCAACAGGGAAGAGGGAGCCGCACAGGATGCAAGGGCTGCCCCCTCCCCAGCCTCCTGAGGTTGTGCTGGCACAGAGCCGTTGGGGAGCTGACTGCCCACACCTCCCTGTCCACTGCTCTCTCCCTCAAGTGCAGGTGGGGCCTGTACCTGAGGGTGCGGATGAGTGTGCACTGGGCCGGGCTCCCCGCTCTGTGGCCGCTGTCGTAAACCGTGAGCCTTGCTATCACGGTCATTGCCATCCACTCCTGAGCTGCTGTTGTCTGCATGTTACAGAAATGTGGGGCTCTCGGGGTTGAGTGAGTTTCTGCGACGACGGTTGTGGACTGTGAGGTGGGAGCGGAGCTCTCCAGGCGCCTCCTCTTGCCTTTCATGTGGTGGCTGCTCTGGGCCTCTGGGCGCTGGGACTTATAGCGCTGGGAGGGACAACCCCACCCCAGCTGAACCTTGAGGCCCCTGCGATGAGCTCCGGTGAAGTCTCTGAGCTCCTAGGCAGCGAGCTTCAGGGCTATCTGCTGCTGCAGCAGTCCTGGCCCACCCTGATTACAATGGACGCCCCCGCCCTTCTGTCAGCAGCCTCCAGCGAGCTTTGAAATTTTCATGACTGCTCACCCATTGCAGAAAATCCTGCCAATCAAGAGGCTCAAATCTTCATCTTCACTTGACGAGTACTCGTGACACTGGCCAGCCCATTGAGGGTGTACGGATCCCAAAGGCCACCAAGCAGCCTCGGGACGTCGCTTCCCAGAAGCAGCATGTCTAGGGCAGAGTGGCCAGGCGGGCCCAGCCTGGAGAGTGGGCTGGACGTGGGTTGGGGGCCCAGAGAGTGCGGAATTTTTACTGCCTGTGCTTGAAGATGCAGAGCGGAGCGCTGACCTCGAGGGCTTGGTGTCGACTCCGGTCCCGGAGCACTGCAAGTGGACAAAGCGCTGAGGGACCGCAGAGCTGGTGGGCTGATGGCGGGCACAGCCTGCACACGACCCGGCTTCACAGAGAAGGGAGCCCGGGAGAGACCGAAGAAACAAACATAGGGCCCAGGAATAAGTCCAGCCTTATTCTATGAATGCAAATAAAAGTAAACTAGAACAAACAGCCAGACAGCCCACCACGTCGGCCTGGCCGTGGGCTGCGGGTCACATGTGCTGGCGCCCGGGGCGGGGGTGGCCGTGGGAGCTGCTGGCTTTGGCTCCATTCCTGATCGGAATTCCCCATGGGATCTGTGCAACCGGGGTTGCCTCATCTCTCTGCAGGGTTTCACAGCCTCGACCCCTTACCTCCTTCTGGTGCCGCCTCTTGACAGGGTCAGGCTAGTGGGGGCACTGCCCGCCCCTTCCTCCCAGAGTGCTGAGCTCAGGTGGGTTGTATGCTCTTGGAGCCTCTGTCAGCCTGTGGCCCAGGCGCTGCCGTCAAGGACCCATTCAGCCAGGCCCCGGGACTGCCCTTCCTCAAGTGCACTTAGCATTTGGTGGTGAAATACGAGGCTGAGATGTGGGGCAGCACTGAGGCCTGGCCCACCCTCCAGATCTGCTGGGCCCTCTGCTCCTTCTTGGCACTGGCTACAGGTATGTCGTGTGTCTCTTAGGAGGCAGCGCACGCAGGAACTGGGGGGCTGTGGTCAGGGTTCCATGGCACTGATGATAGGACCTTAGACCAGCAGGTGGGAACAGCGTCGAGGTGTGGGAGGGGTTGGGGGGTCTGGGGGAGGTTGGCCTGCTGCCCATCCTTCACGGGGGAGCTGTCTGACCCAGGGACATGCTGGTCCTCCCTGAAGAAGAACCCCATTTATTAGCACGCTGTGTGCGAAGCAGATGCCTCACCCCTTCCCTGAGCTTGCTGTGTCCGGAACCGCCTTCTTTCCCCTCCAACCCACTGACCCATTTATTCTTCTTGAGGGAAGGATGGGGTGGAGATGAGGCTGGGATGGGGTAAGGCCAAGGGCTAGGGCGAGGCCGAGTTGCAACCGGCAGCCTAACCACACAAGAGCCCAGGGCGTGCGTTACCCAATTCTCCTGACTTCGCTGCAGGTTTCAGATCCTTCACAATAAAAAGCTGAAAAACAAAATCCAAATTTGCACACAGCAGAAAATATAAACAATTCTGATCTGTCACATTTAAAATAAAACAGCATGTACAATTTTTTTTAAATTTTTAATTAATTTATTTATTTTTAAAGAAAGGACCATTGAAAGGCAGAAACTTTCAGGAAAGAGCCCCTGTTGGCTCATCCCCTCTCAGCTGGAGAGACCTGTGGCTCTGTCAGACTCAACCTTTGGTGCTTTCTGAGACTGAAAAGACAACATACTCGTTCAAAAGTCCAGCAACTTAAAAATGAGTCCACAGTGAAAACCGCCCTTCCTCACAGAGGGGTTGGGATGGGGCCAGGACAGGCGTGTCTGCTGGTGCTTAATCAGCGTCAGTAGCACCGACCACAGCAGCAAAAGTAAAACTGCAGATCGTGGAAGTGCCATAGGCCCAGGCTGTTGTGGACGTTTGTCATTTGCTGTCTCACTTGATCCTCACACCAACCCTAAAAATAGGCCCAGAGAAGTGCCTTAACTTTCCCAAAGCCACACCACAGTGGCAGAGCTGTCTGCAGGCCCCCTGGGCCTCACCTCAGGCTTGGGAAACTGCCCCGCCTTCCGCATTGTGTAAGTGCAGTGGGAGGAAAGTGCCCGGAGAAGCTGCTCCACTGTGTTCACTGCCTCCCTCTGGGCCCTCCGACCTGTCTTGCTCCAGAGTTAGCGTCATCCGCAAGTGAGGTGAGGCCACCCCACTTGTTGCCTCAGGGTGGCCTGGTCTCAGTCAGGATTGCCTCGGGGTTGAGACTGGGTGACTGGTGACGTTGGCAGGCATGGGGTTCTGGTCTGGGGTCATTTCGCTGTGGCTGAGTGACCAGGATGAATTCACTCCAGGGTGTGGCCCCCCACATCTCAGGTGGTGGCTTCCCCCACCCTGCAGGCAGAGCCTGGCTCACTGTGATGTGGCTTCCCCCCAGTGAATGGGGTGAAAGGCCTGCACCCTGTGTGGCTTCAGCCCTGTTTGATGGGCCTCCGTGCAGTCACAGAGCCTGCTGGACGCAGGGATGTGGTCAGTGTGCACAGGAGCACGTTATATGAAGTAAGGACAGGAAGATGCTAATTCTGAGTGTATGTGAAGACTGCGTGTTTGTGTGCATGAATTAATATGAGAAAATGTGTTAAAATGTTAACTCGTTTGTTCATAAAAATACACTGAGTACATAAAAGGTACCCGTGATTGAGAGAGTCAGCTTGATGTTTCCATTCATTGGGGAAAAACACTTAGGACTCAACAGTGGAGGAAAAAAGATTCTGCTCAGTTGAAGGGGTGGGGACCCAGACCCGCCCCTCTCTAGGCCAGACACACCTTCAGTCCCCCCTCCCCGGCCCCTTGTGGGAGCTGCATCACAGCCCCCCCCCCCTCGGCCTTTTGCTCCCCAAACTTCATTTCTGTCCAGCCTGTGTACTTGCTGAGCCTCTACCTGGACACTGGACACCTCCTCTCCTTCCAGCATCACACCCCGGCCCCGGCACATTGCACAGGCTGCAAATTCACGGGTTACCCACCCCAGAAGAGCCCCCCTTGAGCCCACTGCCATCTTGCTGTGGTCTCCTCACTGTAGCCATGGCAGTTCTTTCTTCAGGCAGCTCCAGGATGTGACAGGCCCTGTTCATTGATTTGTTTCCTCCCTGCTGGTTTGCACCCCACACCCCCAGCCCCCTGCATGCACCCCACTGGGGCTGGCCCTTGTCTCTGTCATCTCCACCTTCTGCTCCTGGCAGTGCCTGGGGACCTTTGTGGTGAATGCGTGATTGGCAGCACTTGCGCTGCCCAGCTGGGCCCTGGGCTTCCTCCCTCCCTTTCTAGAGCCAGTCTCCTGAGGAGCTCTGATCAGAGGGGGTGGCACTGCAGCCAAACCGAGTCTAGCCATCCAGGGAGCGGCCCCCAAAGCAGCTCTGACCAGTCCTGGTCAGTTTCCCTCTAAGAAGGGAGCCTGTGGCTCCTACTCACTGGAATCCCTGAGCACGACGAGTGTGTTTCTGATTGCATTCTGGCCGCCGTGTCCTTGCGGGTTCTGTTAATTTTCCAAGGGTGACGAGAGGGATGAGTAGGGCCACGGCCACTTGGTGCGTTTTAACTGCTTCCTCGCCGGTAAGGGTTGCAGTGTGGGCAGACAGGTGGTGAGGGGTGGGCGCCTCCCAGGAGGACGGGACATGGCTCGTCTCCAGCCTTCCAGTCTTCGGGCCTTGTGCTGCGTGCCTAGAGCCTGCAAAGCCCAGGATGAGGCTTGATCATCAAAATAGTTGTTGCTGTGCACTGCGTGTCTGCAGAGGCAGCGAGCCTGGGGGATGGCAGCCCCCCCAAGAAGCCGGGTCTCTTCACTGGCATTCGGTGCTCACCCCGCTGTGGCACCTGCATCACATGCCTGTGCCCCCGGCCCCTGCGTTGTACTGGTCACGTGACAGTACTGGACCCCAAAAATCATCTCAGGAATCCCACTGTCCTCAGTGTCTGGGATGGAAAGGGAGAGTGACCCACACAGCTAAGACCCCTCACCAGGGTGAGCTGCCCCTCACCACCTATTCAGGGAACTTACATCCCCAATTCTTGGCCAGTGACAGAAACCCTGCTCAGCACCTGTGCCCTTCCTGCTCCGCCTGCTCCTGCACCACCATCCTGGGGAGGTGGCACACTGCCAGATCCAGCCCTGTCACCCAGCCGCAGCCTGCTACACCCCCACCCCCACCAGTGAAGTTGCAAAATGCATCTCCTCACCCTTCTGGGGGGTGGGTCCTGGCGGAGTGCACTTTGACCAGCCCAGCTGGGTGCCTGGCTTTGGGTTCTAGGTCTGCCGCCTCAGGCAGAGGGAGGAGGGGAGGGGGTGTCGTGTCCTCCCACGGGTCTTGGACGGCAGGTCTGCCTCCATGGCCTCCGTCCTTCTGGCCCACAGGGCGCCGGTGAGCCCTGGGGATTGAGTGAGGTCAACTGCCCTGTGCCAGGCCCACCTGGGTGCTGAAGACATGTGCGAGCACCATGCTCTGTCTGGCCTTTGTGGTGTTGGGGAGACATAAGCCACCCACACGCGCTGGGTGCCGCTCAGGTGCGGAGGGTGTCGCTGTACGGTGGTCGTCCCTAGGAGGTGTTGGGGAGCCGGGTGGCGAGCAGTGGCGGGCGGGGCCGCATCTGGGCAGGGGAGCAGCATGTGAGAGGGCCCAGCGAGCCGTCTGGTGTGATGCAGACTTGGGGCCGGGAAGTTAGGGAGGACCTAACCTTGTGGGGACCTGGAGGTCACGGTGAGGACTGGGGTCTTGCTGACGGTGCTGGGGTACCCCTGGGCAGTGTTGAGCTGGGCGTGGAGGGGCTTCCCTCTGGGGCTTGCATGAGTGACTCGGAGCTCTGAGCAGCACAGGGCAGGAACTAAGGCCCCGAGGAGGGAGAGCTGCCTCAGGGAGGGCGGTGGATCCCTGCACTGGCTGCACATGCACCCCCGCCCCAAGAGCTGACCTCGAGCCCGGTGGTCAGCGGTGGCCGGCTCTCTCCTGCAGGTCAGTGGCTTGCATCCACCTGGCCCCCGGAGGCCAGAGCAGCAAGGCCAGGCAGCCCCCCTGCCTGCCTTTGTCCCCGCTCGGGGCCTTGCTCAGGCAGCTCTGCTCACGGTGGCCTGTGGCTTTGGTGGCTCCCTGCAGGGGAGGAGCGGGCGGGAGAGCTTGGATGTGGTTCACGATGTCACTGGAGCGTGAGTCCTGCCTTCCTTTACCAGAGGATGGCTTACGCAGCGCCACTCGGGTGGGAAAGGGTTTTGGTTTTTGCCTGATTGCCAGCGGGAGAAGCAGCTCAAGCGTTGGGGAGGCTCAGCATAAGGGGTTCAGTTTGCTATTTGGCCACTTTTTCTTGAGACCCCCTCACGTTGCCTGCCTGTTGCCAGTGGGCTGAGCGGCAGAGTCATGGGTCCTGCCAGGGGCAGTGTTTCAAGGGCTCCTGAGCCCTGCACATCAGCAGGTGATGCGCTGTGTCTGGTCACAGGGACCAGCCCAAGCCCCAAGTCCCAGGCCTGGCAGAGAGGCAGGTGAGGGTCCCTGTGGCCCAGGATCCTGGAGTCGGCCTGTAGGGGCCAGGGAGGCTCCGTCAGCTTCCTGTTGGGACCCCAGGATCCAGCAGGTGAGCCATTGGTCAGCCAGCTTCATCCACAAGCTGTGCTTGTCCACCCAGGTCAGGAGGCCTCAGGGACCCCTAGATCACAAGACTGTGTCTGCTCTGAACGCTGGGGCTGTTGGCAGCTATTGGGGATCTTTTGAGATTGTGGGTGCACTGAGAGGGCTCCTGCTTGGAGCCCAAGACAGGCAGGCCTGCTGGAGCAGGGGTGAGGCTCTGCTTGGGCATGAGGTTTCAGATGTCTACCCCGCCGGGTAGCAAACTGTGCTGGGATTGGTCTCCTGGGCCACGTCGGGGAGATTGAGCCTGGACCTGCATGGCCCAGGGGGCTCCTGACTACACACACCAACAGCTGCTTCCCTCTCTGAGCCTGGCCCCCAGCTGTGCAACGGGGCGCAGGAGCGCATCCCCACAGGGCACAAGTTACTTCTCACCTCCCTGGCGTCTGCTCTGCGTGCTCTCGTAACCCACCCACTCCTCTCCAGTCCACGCAGGTTTGGTGCTTTTTTGTTCAAGAGCTGGTCTAAACTGCCGAGAATAAAACCGGGTTCGAAAGGGCAGGCATGCCCTCCTTGTCCTGGGGGTCCTGGGATGGGATGGGGTGTGCGGGCGGGGGTGGAGCTAGCAGAGGAGGGGTGGCGGGAGAGGGCAGGGTGGCTGGGGCACGAGCAGGGACCCGGGGCCTCACCCCGCTCTGACCCTTGGCCTTGTCCCCGGCAGGTGGCCCAGCATGTCGGTCAGCGTGCATGAGACCCGCAAGTCGCGGAGCAGCACAGGCTCCATGAACATCACCCTCTTCCACAAGGCCTCCCACCCTGACTGCGTGCTGGCCCACCTCAACACGCTGCGCAAGCACCGCATGTTCACCGACGTGACGCTCTGGGCCGGCGACCGCGCCTTCCCCTGCCACCGCGCCGTGCTGGCCGCCTCCAGCCGCTACTTCGAGGCCATGTTCAGCCACGGCCTGCGGGAGAGCCAGGATGACACGGTCAACTTCCAGGACAACCTGCACCCCGAGGTGCTGGAGCTGCTGCTGGACTTCGCCTACTCCTCCCGCATCGCCATCAACGAGGAGAATGCGGAGTCGCTGCTGGAGGCCGGCGACATGCTGCAGTTCCACGATGTGCGGGACGCGGCCGCCGAGTTCCTGGAGAAGAACCTGTTCCCCTCCAACTGCCTGGGCATGATGCTGCTGTCTGACGCGCACCAGTGCCGCCGGCTGTACGAGTTCTCCTGGCGCATGTGCCTGGTGCACTTCGAGACGGTGCGGCAGAGCGAGGACTTCAACAGCCTGTCCAAGGACACGCTGCTGGACCTCATTTCCAGCGACGAGCTGGAGACAGAGGACGAGCAGGTGGTCTTCGAGGCCATCCTCCAGTGGGTGAAGCACGACCTGGCCGGGCGCCAGGCCCACCTGCCCGAGCTCCTGCGCCGCGTGCGCCTGGCCCTGCTGCCGTCCGACTGCCTGCAGGAGGCTGTGTCCCGCGAGGCCCTGCTGCTGGGGGACGAGCGCACCAAGCTCATCCTGGACGAGGCTCTCCACTGCAAGACCAGGATCCTGCAGAATGACGGGGTGGTCACCAGCCCCTGCGCCCGGCCACGCAAGGCTGGCCACACGCTGCTCATCCTGGGGGGCCAGACCTTCATGTGTGACAAGATCTACCAGGTGGACCACCAGGCCAAGGAGATCATCCCCAAGGCGGACCTACCCAGCCCGCGGAAGGAGTTCAGTGCCTCGGCCATCGGCTGCAAGGTCTACGTGACCGGGGGCCGGGGCTCCGAGAACGGCGTCTCCAAGGATGTGTGGGTATACGACACCGTCCACGAGGAGTGGTCCAAGGCGGCGCCCATGCAGATCGCCCGCTTTGGCCATGGCTCAGCCGAGCTGGAGAACTGCCTGTACGTGGTCGGGGGGCACACGTCGCTGGCGGGCGTCTTCCCGGCCTCCCCTTCTGTGTCCCTGAAGCAGGTGGAGAAGTACGACCCCGGGGCCAACAAGTGGACCATGGTGGCTCCGCTGAGGGACGGCGTCAGCAACGCCGCGGTGGTGAGCGCCAAGCTGAAGCTCTTCGTCTTCGGCGGGACCAGCATCCACCGGGACATGGTGTCCAAGGTCCAGTGCTACGATCCCTCCGAGAACCGGTGGAGCATCAAGGCCGAGTGCCCCCAGCCTTGGCGGTACACTGGCGCGGCTGTGCTGGGCAGCCAGATCTTCATCATGGGGGGCGACACGGAGTTCACAGCCGCCTCGGCCTACCGCTTCGACTGCGAGACCAACCAGTGGACGCGCATCGGCGACATGACGGCCAAGCGCATGTCCTGTCACGCCCTGGCCTCGGGCAACAAGCTCTATGTGGTGGGGGGCTACTTCGGGACCCAGCGGTGTAAGACCCTGGACTGCTATGACCCCACCTCGGACACGTGGAACTGCGTGACCACCGTGCCCTACTCGCTCATCCCCACAGCCTTTGTCAGCACCTGGAAGCACCTGCCAGCCTGAGGAGCGCCCGCGGAGCCCAGCCAGGTGAGCCCCTGCACCCTAGCCTGTTCCCACTTGGGGAAGGTCGCCGTATCCTCCATGAAAGCTGGGTGTGGGGCAGCAAGTTGTGGGTTGGGGGGGCTCTGGGCCCCTTTTCCAGCTCTGGAGCCCTAGCCTGGTTCTGCTCCTCCTTCGCACTTGACCTTTAGCAAAGCGTGTGACCCCACTGCCAAAGGAAAAGCGCTTTCGATTCATGTGGAGGGTCCCTGAATGTGACTACACATGACCCCCCCGGGGGCTTTGGCTAATGCTTTGGAGTTAAGTCACCTGCACTGTCTGAGCATCTGAGCACCTGCCTCCACACAAGAACCATTTCTGGCACCCACTGCAAGATAGGGGTGTCCGACCGTGCTCTGATGTGAGCATGTTCTGGGGGAGGTCGTAGAAACACAAGGGCTCTGCCTTTTTATGGAAAGGACACAGGTTGAGATCGGCTGAGGCGGAGCCCCAGAGGCGCCCAAACCCGACCCCTGCCCTGTGGCTCCGGGATGGTGCTCCTTCCCCGGCATCAGCAAGTTGCAGCTGGCACCGGCTGTTGCCAACCAGGGGAGCTCACACAACCTTGGTTTTTGTTGGCCCATCACACAGGCATGATTGGGGGGCCCCCCACAGGTTACCCAGACTCTGGGGCTACCTGGTGGTCAGATGTGACCACGCCCACCCCGAACAATGACACGCCTCTCTGGGATGGCAGGCCACGTCCCAGAAGCCAAGGGCAAAGGTCAACCCTCTGTTAAGACAGGCCAGATTCTTTGCTCCCACAAGCTAAAGCCAGGCCATGCCCCAGACCAGCGGAGCCAGGGCCTCCAGTAGCTGCCGTAGCTCCAGGTGAGTCCAGTGTGGGTTTGAAGGCAAAATCCCCACCCTTGGGTCCCTTGAGAATCAGGAGCAGGGAGATAGATGGAGCACCCAGGGCCTGACCCTTTGTGGGAGAACTCAGGGGTGCTCCCGCCCCTCTGCCAGTTGGAGGGAAGCCCTTCAAAGGGGCTTTGGGACAAAGTGAGGGACCCCTAGCCGGGGCAGGGTTGACCGCAGGGTGCTACCCCAAGTTCCACTCTTGCCTCTGTTCTTAGTGCCATCTTTGCATAGAACGGGAAGGTGACCACCGACATGACGTGCTCTTTGTGGGAGGTGGGGACACAGGAGGGACTTGCAGCGCCTGAGCAGGGATGGGTACAGTCAGGTGGAGGCACCTGGACGACCAGCACGTCCTGGAGGGCCTCTGGCGGGTGGGTCAGCGTCAAGTCCCGAGGTTGAGTTAGAGGGTCCCGAGCCAGCCTGGCCAGGTGATCTGGGTTGGGGACTGGAATGGGGTGATGGATTTGTGGGCCCCAGAAAGGCTGGTGACCACCCCACTCCTTGGTCAGGACCTGGGAAACCAGGGTCTGTGTCCACTCCTAGCCCTTTCCCTGGGCACCTCACATCTGAGGTGGGATGAATGGATGGCGGCTGGGAGGCATGGGTCCTGGGGACTCTGAGAACTGGTGGGGGGGTACGTCTGGACACAGAGAAGGCGACAGAGGAGGTGCCTCCCTCCCACCCAGGAGTGACCCAGGCAGCCTGGAAGAGGCCTGCCCGGCCCTGGCCGCCCACGTCCATTCCGACACCCTGCGGCTCTGAGGCGTGGCCGTGGGCCCTCAGCCCCCTCAACCCCTTCCCTTCAGGAACCTCCGGCAGGAGCTGGCCCGAGCTGGAAAATCCGTTTCCTCATGACCCGGAGACTGCCGGCAGGAATGCCGAAGCCCCACGGCGAGCGCAGTCACGCTGAGCTGGGGTTGGGGTTGCTTCTAAGTGGGAGCTGATGTTTCAGCTGTTAAATCAGATCCAGCCGAGCCTTCCAGACCCCTGAAGGGACTCACAGCGGCCCCCAGGCCCACGGCAGCCATCTGCTCTGTAAGCCTGTGTCTGGCACAGGAAGGCCAGCCTGGGTGGGGCTGGGCTTTGTTCTTATTTCAGGTTTTGTCTTGACCCGCGCCCTTCCTCTTTGGGAGAAAAACCTGACGGCCAAGGTCCTTGACCCCGGAGAGGCAGCGTCCAGAGCGCCTGCTCCCCCTCCGCTGGCCGGGGGGCTGCGTTCTGCCGGGCCGGGTGGTTTGGACAGTGTCGTGAGTCATGTGCACTTCAGACTCCTCGCCCCGCCCTCGCGGCCCAGCTGCGCCTCCCCGAGTCCTGTTCCGGACCTTGGGCCGGCCCCAGGTGGGCGAAGTCAGCGAGCACCTGACCAAGCCCGTCTTACGGTGACGTGTGCCGGCGTCTTTCCCCTCCTGGTCGCTCACTGCCGACGGCCCAAGACAGAATCGCCCCTCAGGTTTCGAAGCTCCCAGGGAAAGAACAGAATTCAAAATTCCAAGGAGTTTTCACCAGTGGTGCTTTTGCACCATCATGAAGTCAAAATATCCTAAGTGGAGCTATTGTCGGAGGGCCCGGCTGGATTGCCACCCCCTCATGGGGCCCCGTCTGCTCTGCGGGCGGCCACACCGAGGTGCCGCAGCTGAGGATGGGGCGGCAGGGGGCCAGGCAGCAGAGAGCAGCAGAGACCATGAGAGAAAGGCAGAGAGCCCAGGAAGGGTGAAGATGCGCCGGGGGCTAGGAGGCCTGCCAGCCTCCAGGCCCCCCGGCCGCCCTTGCTGCCCTGCGCCTGGTCGCCTCACTACAGGTGGTGTAGAAAGATCATTCAAAGCCTGAAAAAGTCACCGAGGGCTCCTCTACCTGCCTGCCCAGATCCCGGAGAACTGCTCTGTGCCTTCCTGGCACTACAAAGTAGGCCTGTGAGGGTTACCGAGAGCCTAAGGCCACTTCAGAGCCTGCTGTCCTCACAGCGCTGGCCAGAGAGGTCGGGCATGGACCCGAGTGTGGACTGCTGAGGACGGATGAGCTCCCAGCCTTCTTGCCTGCCCTCAACCCCAGCGTTCGACTGTCAGTGAAGGCCTCGCTGGCCTGGGCGCTCCCCCACCCCACCTGGGGCCTGCGGTGCCATTTCTCCTGGTACGTCTGTCTGGAATTCCATCAACTGGAGCTGTGCTCCGGCCAAGGGCATCATCCCTGGATGCACACCCAGGGACATCCCTGGCATCAGGCTGGACTTCCGGCCGGCTGTGCTACAGGTTTAGAAACAACCACAGGGGCAAATTGGGTTTTCTTAATCCCTTCAAGGACCTTCTTCTACACGAGGCTTTTCAGGTGCAGGAGATGTTCCATCCTCCGAGAGGCAAAGGTCTGTCCCACAGGGCAGCAGGGCGCTCTCAGCAGACCTCACACTGAGAACCTGCACTGGGGTGTGGACCCCAGACTTCAGAGCTGCCCTACCTGGCATGCACTCTGTCAGGCAGGTTCCCCCCCAACCCCCCGACAGCCTCCCAACTTTCTGATCCCCTCCCCCATGCCCTCTTGCCACCGCTGGCCTGCTTTTATTTAGGAATCCAAAGGTGCCACATTCCCACACCAGCTCCTTGTATGTGCCAACCCTCTGGCTAACTCTCCGTCCTGCAGGTCTCTGGTTGAACATTCCTCCTAGTCACACCTTCCACTAAAGATAGAACAATAAAAGTCCTGTTTTTAAGCTATGTAATTTTTTTTTTTGTTTAAGATTTTTTTTTTTAAATTTATGCATACAAGAGCTGGGGTACAGGCCAGAGGTGTGGGGTGGGGTGAGAGGATTCACCAGAGACAGAGTGGGGAACAGAACAGGCAGACTGACTGAAATACACTGCTGAGGGGAGCAGCGGGCGAGTCAGAAGTGGTCTGCTTCGCCATGTGGGTTGCTCCTTGGCCGGCTGGGGATCGAACTCGTGCTGCAGAGGCTGCGGATTGCTTCATAGAGTGGTGCTTATTAACCCCTCGCGCCACCAGGGAGGCCCCTAACCTATGTTTTTAATTCATATCATACTTCTCACTGTGTGATGACTATAATTTTATGAGCCTGTGGTTTCTGGTCCAGAGGATGATCTGGAGTCAGCAGCTGTGTGTTTGCGGTCCTGCTTCCCCAGGCCAGCGTGGCGCCTGCCTTGTGGACAGCACTAGGAAGGTGCTTTGAACACGTGAGTAGTTGCCCCTTCTAGGTGAGGACGCCAGGACCCAGGCAGTGGCCCACACCCGGGCCCCAGAGCTCTGCCTACATCGCTGTGCTTTGGTTCAGATGAGTGTGTGCACATAATTCACCTTCTCTCTCTCTCGTGTTCTCAGACTCTGCGTGTTTCTCCCCACCCGTGGCCGCCGTCCTCTCTGCTGTCATGGCTCAGCCGTCAGGAGGCTCTGCTGGGCTCCAGGCCAGCGCCCCGAGGGGCCCAAAGTGCTCCATTCTGCAACTGCAGCCTCAGGCTATTCTGACCTTCAGATGAGAGAGGAGGAGCCACCTGCGGCCCGTGTGCCCACCGAGGCCTTTCTGGATGGTGCTGGTTCGCAGGGCAGAGGCCCTTGGGAGGGCATAGACTGACATTTGGACTCCCTTGGCCTGGACAGAAGGACGCGTGCACAGCATGGGGGTGGCCTGTCCCAGCATATCCTGCACTGAGGCTGGGGGCCCAGCAGGAAGCACCCGGGTCAGACCTCCCTGTGGGATTGCACTGTTACCCCCAAGGATGTCCCAGCCTCAGCGAGGTGGGATCCGGCAAGACCAAGAGGAAGTTTCTGAGATCAAAGATGCTCCAGGGGTAGAGAGCCCTGGAGTGACACCTGCAGGCTTCATGAGCTCATGGCACCCAAACCCCCAAGGTTAAAGAGGAAAGCCACTGCTCCTCCCCAGTCAGGCTCCTCAGCTGTGCTCACTCAGGCTCCAATATGTGGGCTGCTCTGGGCCAGGAGCCCTTTGGGCTGGGCTCCCCCACAGTGAGCACGCACTGTGGATGTAGGCTGCCAATTGGGAAAACCCAAAAGCTGAAGGTGCCTTTCTGGGCCCTCCCAGCCACCGAGGCCACCGACTGGTCTCAGGAGAGGGCCCTGCTGGAGGACTCCGGGCACCCCCCACCCCGGTTCCGGAGCTCGCAGGCCCTGCTGGTGGCTGCCGGAGACAAGCACACTAATCACACAGCACAAGAGGCCCTCCGGTGGTGCTTCCCCCACCCCCCAACATGTTGCTTTTGTCTGTCTCTAACTTAATAAAAGAAATTGAGAAAACCCCTCGCTTTCCTTGGGTGCTGAGACGCGACTTGGGCACACGCCGGCAGACCGGGACTTCTCCCCATCCCCAGGGCTGCAGGTCTGCCCCTCGGGCAGGTGGAGGGGATCCCCGCTGACCCCCGGGAGCTGGCTTCCCTTTCTCAGGTCCAGCCCATGAAGCCTTAAGGGGGTTCTGGAGCATCTTGACTGCCCTCTGCCCCCCACCCCGCCAGCCTGTCTTTCCAAAGCCCCAGGGGCTCCATGTTTTCTCCACGAGCGTCAGCTGCTCATCACCTGCCTGTTGGCACCTGCGAGGGCAGTGCTGCCCCGCCCCGCCCCCTGCACGGGCTTGTGCGCTCAGCGTGCGTGCGTGTGGCTCACGCCTCTAGGATGATCATCACCTGGGCGAGAGCGAGCCTCCCGCAGCACACGCCCCTCAGGCACAGCCTGGGAGGCCTGCGCGGCCGCCTCTGCTCCCAGTGCCCCAACAAAACCAGGAGCCCCAGCCTGGACCCCACTGTCAGGTGCCGAGCAGCCTGTGGCACTGCGGTGGGAACAGCCCTGACGGTGAGTAGGAACGTGTTTCTCCTTTCTGCCGTCGAGGTGTGGGCCTCAGGGAGCCGGCTGGGTCCCCAGCTTCCACCAGGTGTGGGCCTCAGGGAGCCGGCTGGGTCCCCAGTTTCCACCAGCTGCCCGCGAGGCTTCAGTCTCCTGGCCCAGCACCGCCGCGCAGGCCTGCCGTCTCCCTGCCTTCCCTGCAAGGCTCTGGCCCAGAAGTCAGGCCTCATTTCTGGGCGCTCCATGGGAGGCTGGGGGAGGCTGGGGGATGTGGAGGACAAGCAGCCTTCGGGGGTGGGATACCCTGACCTGCTTCTGTCTCTGGGAGCCAGGGAGGCCGGGCCACAGCACAGCCGGTCCCCTCAGGAACTCGGCCCTCATGAGCATTGCCCCCTGCTCTGCTGGGGAGACAGGCAGGTTGGCTCAGCCTACTCAGCCAGGTGCACGTGAGCGTGGCCGCCGCAGGACCAACAGGAGACTGAACCTGGAGGGGGCTTCCCCGTCAGGACACCAGGCAAGGGATCCCCATGACCTGGGTCCCAAGGGGACATGGAGCTTTCATGCGTTGTGGATCAACCATGGTGTCCTGTGAGCCTGCCTCTCCTCGCTGCCCCTCAGCCAGGTCTCCCTGCATCCAAAGGGCCCTTCCTAGCCGAGGAACTGGTGAGGGCACACCCAATGGCAGGTGGCGCCACCCTGCTCAGCACGGGGAAAAGCTGTGGGGCAGCATCTTTCCCAGGGCAGCCTGGAGAGAGCTTCGGTCCTTCCGGGTCGTCACTAGGTTGGTGTTTTCAACAGTGAGAAGCTTCCATGCTCCGTTGTGTCCCCACCCTAGGACTCCACCAACCTCAGGGGGGGCATGTTCTGCAGCAGGCAGGTGGGCTCCTGGGGGTGGCTTCCTGTGGCTTTCCTGCCCCTCCCGGCAGCAGAACCCAGGGCCCATCTGACCTCTGGCCGGCGGGCTCACATCACAGCGCAGGAGCTCTGCCTGCCTCCTGCATATCTCCCATGGGCTCACAGCCCAGCGCTGGGAATTACCTCTCTTGTTGGCACCTGGGGCTTTGGGCTTGGCTGCCTCGTTAGCCATCAGGGAGAAGCCCACAGGCCTCTGTGGATGTCGGCATCTGCTGTGTGGGGCGTGGTCTGGACAGATCCAGCAAGCTAGGACCGGAGGTTTGCTTTGCTAGCCTGTGTATTTCACGCATGGAAAACACTGGGGGGTGAGGCAGGGAAGTAGTCAGAGCTCTTGAAAGGTTGCGTCCAGCGTAAACCAGGTCCCGCACAGGGTGCTGTGGTTTCAGCTCCCTGAAGGCCACCCTCCTCCCAGCACCCATGACAGCCCAGCCGTCTGGGCCTTCCTGGAAGGAGCGGGGTATGCCGTCACCAGGGGAGGGCCTACCTGGCCTTGAGCCGGAAGGGCAGAACCAGGTAGGGGAGGGAGGCCTCTTCTCCCGGGGAAGCTGGGGGTCCTGTCTCCCTGGTGGAGGGAATTTGGTGTTTTTTAGCACATTTAGGCAACCATCACCTTGATCCTATTCATAACCCAAAGAAGCCTGACACCCCGTCGCTGGCACCCCACTTTTCCCACCCCCACCCTTCACCCCTGACCTGCTCCCTGACTCTGCAGCATCGGCCTGCTCTGGACACTGTATAAAGTGAAGCAGCGTGTGGTCCTCCGGCTGCTCTCAGTGCGGTTTGTTCTCGCTCACGCGCCTGCGCCTCCAGATTGTTTTCCAAAGCAGAGGCCCCTTTTCATGTTTCACGAGCAGTGTGTGAAGAGTTTACTCTTCTGTGTTCTTGTGCAACGCTTGTTATTATGTTTGTTTTAAAAATTATAATCCTCCTGCAGCGTCAATTGAAGGTGTGTCTTTTTGGTGGTTTAATCTGCCTCTCGGGGGCTGATGATGGTTGGACCCCTTTCCACACGCACCTGTCTTCCACACGCACTTGTGTCTGCGTTGGTGGGTGGCTGTTTGGGTGCCTTGCTCATTTAATTTGGTTATTTGTCTTTTAGTCGTGAAGTTGTAAGGGTGCTTTATAGATCTTAGTTGTATGTTGTCAGAGCAACGTTTCGAGAAGCTTCCTTTTTGTTCTGCACATAGTTTGTTCAATTACTTGATGGTAATTTGAAGCACAAAAGTTTTAAAATTTGAAGTCCATTTTATGTATGTTTTTCTTTTGGCAGTTTTGCTTTTGTTCTTCTAAGAAGAGTTTGCCTAACCCAGTGTCCCAAAGATTTGCTCCTGCGCTTTCTAAGTTTTATCTCTCTTTTTTTTTTAAGATTTATTTATTTGTGCATGTAAGAGCCGGGGTACATGTCAGAGGTTTGCAGGGTGAGAGGGTTCACCAGAGACAGAGTGGGGAGCAGAACAAGCAGATTGACTGAAATACTCTGCTGAGGGGAGCAGCGGGCGAGACAGGAGAGGTCTGCTGCGCCGTATGGTTTGCTCCCTGGCTGGCCGGGGGGATCGAACGTGTGCTGCAGAGACTGTGAGAGACTGTGGACAGCTTCATAGGTTGCATCTTAACCCCTTGCACCACTAGGGAGGCCCCCTGAGTTTTAGCTCTTCTATCAAGTCAGTGATTCGTCTTGAGTTCGTTGTTATATATGGTAGGAGGACTCAAGCTCACTCTCCTGCATGTTGGTGTCCACCGGTCCCAGCATGACTTGTTAGAAAAGACTATTTCCACATGGAATAGTCTCGGTGCCCTCATCCTGAGCCAGTTCACCATAATGTGAGAATTTATTTCTGGATGTGCGGTTTTAGCCGCTGACCGCTGTGTCTGTGCCTCAACCAGAACCACTCTGCTTGGTCACTGCAGCTTTGCTGTAAGTTTTGAAATTAGAAAGTGTGGAGCTTCCAAATTGGTTCTTTTCAAAATTTTTTTTGGCTCTTCTTGAAGTCCCTTGGGAATTTTAAGATGAGCCTGTCAGTTTCTGGAAAGACGCCGGCTGGGCCCCTGGTGAGGGTTGCGAGTCCGCACACCGGTTTGGCGCTGACACCATCATGTCCTGCGGGATCCTCTGACCACATCGCGTGGGATGTTTCCTCTGGTTTCGGCCCGTCCTCCCTGTCAGCATATTTTCTAGTCTTCAGAGTATCTGTTTTTCACGTTGGCTAGATGTGTGCCTCCTGCTTTTTAATGTTTTGAAGATATTCCCAGTGGACTTCTCCCTTTTATATTCAGACTGTTCTGTGCTAGCCTATGGAAACATAATTGACTGGCTAATACCAGCTGACCTTGTGCCCGGCTGCTTTGCAGAACTTGCTCAATAGTGCTCGTCATGTTTTCGTGATTCCTTAAGATTTTCCACATAGAAGATCCTGTCACCTGCAAACAGAGATAGTTTTATGTCTGTCTCTTCCTTCTGAATGCCTTTTATTTCAGTTTTGGTTTGTTTTTTGTTTTGTTTTTTTGTGTGTCCAATTTTTTTTAAATTTTTTTAATTTTCTACATCATTGTTCATTTTTAAACAATATTTGCTTCCTCCCACCCCCTCGGGTGTAGTCCCCGTAGAGTTTCCTTCCCCAGTGTGCCATCACCTCAGTCCCCTGTGCTCCTCCTGCCCTCCCTCTGATCCCTCTCCCTCCCCTGCAGGATGTCTCTGGTTTATAATTGTCTGTTTTTCACTTTGTTGGGTTATCTACTTTTATTATTTTTTTTACACCAATGTCTTATTTACATCAATGTCTTATTTTACACCAATGTCTTATGTCAAATAAGACATAAGTCTTTTTCCTTCTGACTTATTTCAGTGAGCATAATTCCTTCTAGTTCCATCCATGTTGCTGTAAATGGCATGAATTTATCTTTTTCCCCTTTTTTAAATATTTTATATAATTCTTGCATCATTTTTCATTTTTGCACAATGTATGCATTTTCATTTTGGTTATATTTGCCGTACAATTGTACCCCCCCTTATTTTAACCCTAATCCTTCCTCTCCCCGCCCCCCACCTCCCCACTAGTGTGCTCTGGTTTATAGTTGCTTGTTGATTTTGATTTTTACTTTATTATAATTAGTCTTTTTCCTGGTCCCTTATTTTGGTTTTCTAGATTCCTGCTATGAGTGAGACCATCCGGTATTTTTCTTTTTCTTTCTGGCTTATTTTGCTGAGCACGATCCCTTTCAGCGCCATCCATGTTGCTGCAAATTGCATGTGTTTATCTTTTTTGATTGCTGGGTAATATTCCATGGTGTATATGGACCACATCTTCTTGATCCAGTCATCTGTTTTTGGGCATTTGGGTTGTTTCCAGGTTTTCCCTACTGTAAATAGTGCTGCAATAAACATAGGGGTACAGGTGTTCTTTTGAATCAATGTTTCTGTGTCCTTTGGGTAAATACCTAGGAGTGGAATTGCTGGGTCATATGGTAGCTCCATTTTTAGTAAACTGAGGAAACTCCAGGCAGCTTTCCATAGTGGCTGGACCAGTTTGCACTCCCAT